TTAAGATGTTATTTAATTTCAGGATACATAGGAGATCATAGTTTATATACAAAGGAGATAGCCCTCGTACAGGAAAGCTATTCACCATCAATGTTAGGTATGTATTTTTTTTTGACACATTTGGAATTGATTCTCCTTTAGAAACCTCTCCTATAATAAATAATAGAAGTGTAGTACCGTTCATAGGCTGGTTTCCAACGCTTATGTTTATAATATTGATTCTTGACATAACTTAAAAACACCTTGTTTCAGGTGAAAAATTACCTGTACTTGTTGAGTCTATGTCCTTGTGTAATCCACCATCTACAAGTCAGTGTGTACTGCCATCCCAATTTGGATTAACAGGTAATTGATACAAACTTCGGAAATACTAGTTGGTCTATTAACTGCTTTGTATGGTATTATATTATGAACATTTTGTTACAGATCTGCAACCAAATGAAGGTAACCAACAGCCTGTTGGAACTAAACAGCCAATATTGGAATCTCAAAGATCAGTTTTAACTAAATCGACTGGTTAGTAATAATTTTACGGTTCATGGCATAGTGATATTGCACGAATAGTAATAAATTAGATGTTTTAATTCTTAGTGCCAGTTCTTGTGTATCTGAAAAATTACATAATTGACTACAGAAGTCTCAAAAACTTTTGGTGTTCAACAATTTTCTTTTGTTCTCATTAATCATATTTCAATGTCTTTGTTACAGCAACAATATATGAAACTAAACACAAACATTTTGCAAAGAAAATTAAGATCCTTACCAAGGAGCAAATGAAACAACAACATTGAAACAAACAAATTTTATTGGTAATATACATAAAATGACAAAACATGCCCAAAACTTCCTGCTGATGCAAATTAGGTCAGTTAGCATGAAGAAGATGGCTGTACGTTTCAAAAAGAACATGAAATTTCAAGGCAAAATTGCGTCTTGGGCGGACATTGTACTATATACAAGTTGGACAGGCAGTTAGGGCACAGCAGGAACCCAAATTAGGCGAACATCATGTTGCAGAAGAAAAATTGAAGAAGATGAAGGTCAGCGTAGCTGCACAAGTTTTAAGTGCTCGGACAAGCGCTATGTTGAAGTACACTGCATCTTTTAGTGAGTACCCTTTTTCACATAGCTTCTATAGTAACCCACCGGAAAAGGCCTTGCCTTTGTGTTTCCATTACTGATCTACGTTGATTATGCCAGTTTTGGAGGCAGTAGGCCCTTATTCATAGAAAAATACTTTATAAAACTAACGTGATCGTGATGACGCACCTGTTTAATTCAATAGTAATTTTATTTACAGAAACACTTCAAAATGAAGAACCCATTAGCGAAAGCATGCCTACAACAGGGGAGGCTGTAGAGTTTTTTGACAGTCTTTTTGATAGTGTTAACGGATCGCGTAAAACCAGCTGTCGCGGCAAATTGCGACGTCCTGTGAAGCCCAATTCCGACCATTTTAAATTTTGGACAGAAGCTATAAAAATTATAGAAAAATTTCAGGTTTGCAGATGCTTCCAGTAAGAGAGCTTTGAAATCTGGCCAAAGTTATGTTGTAAAAGTGCCTTGTTTAGAAGGTTGGATAACTACTCTAAAAAGTTTTATTATAATTTCAAAATTGTTATTTGATGAATATGACGTACAATATTACTATCCCAGGAATATTAACCAAGACCCTCTGGAAAACTTTTTTGGTAGGATAAGGGCATTAAATTACAGAAACATAAATCCTGACTGCAACACATTCATTAACACCTTTAAATCGCTGATTATGTCAAATATATTAGGTCCTCATTCTGCCTATTCCAATTGTGAAGAAGATAGTGGAGACAACATTTTAGATTTCATTAAAATATTTAAAAAAAAAACACATTGATCACAGAAAAAGAATATATTGATCCAAATGAGGAATACCCCACTGCCCTGCTAAGCCGAAAGGCGGTATCTCTGAGATACGCCCTTTTAGTTTTTTTTATACCATTCCATAGCTATAATAATTTTGCATTTAATGGTATAATCTAAACATCGCTATCTAACTTAAAACATTAAAAAAAACCTCTAAGAAGTTTTTTTATATCTCAATATTTTCTTAAATTATTAAGAGATTTGGCGGCATGTTGTGTTTATGAAGCCAAATAGGCGTATATTGGCATAGGCTAGAAACGCTTAAAAATAATTGATAACAATATTAATCAATTTCTAATGCAATAAGCGGTAAGCTCATCTTTCCTTCGAACTTCGAGCTAGTTGCGGAGTTAGTGCTTTTGCGCTAAGTAAATGTGCGTATTATTAGTTCGCTAAGGTTTGAGATACGGATGTACCGAAGTATGGTAGGTACTTAAAATGGTCTTTAATATCTTAGTATTAAGGATTACACTCACTTGCATGTGACAATAGAGCGTGTTGTGACATGAAGATAAACATAGCGATCATTTCTTAGTTTGTTTTGTTTGCGGAAGGAAGCAAATCTGTTTTGTGGTGTTAAAAATAGGGAAAAAGTTAATAAAACACAGTGTTTATAAATATACAGTGACAAGTTTTTGTGTATTGATATCAAGGTAAGTTTTTATAGGATAATTCTCTAGTTTCTCACTTTCTTTGAAGTTAATTTCAAAGTTGAAGCTTCGATAACGACACTTCAGAATTACAAGTATTTATCTGAGTTGGTAATAGTACAATCAACTGGACGTCAATTGTTATATGTTGACCTTTAGAGCGCCTTAGTAAGGCATGAAATACGAGTCGTTTTCGTAGTGTAGGTATTACACACAAATCAGTCACATCACATCAGAGTAGAAGGCATATGTAAAAACACAACAAGTTTCACTGTTTTTATTGACGATAGTGTAAAAGTCTACCTGTGGTTCGTTAGCCTACTGAGTAATCTACATAGGTAACCAAATTGAATGAAATTATAAAACTAGTTGAGCGAAATGTATGTTTTAATGTTATATAAGGAAATGGATGTTGATTTGTTGCAGATCAGCCATGTCACACAGAAGCTCGAAAATGATGATGGCCTTAGCACAAAAAGATAAGTCTCTGAGAGAAAAATTTAAAGGTTCAAAGAAACTAAAGCGTGACATCCAGAATATCGATCCTGACTTTTTTCCTAGCAGTGATGCTGACGATTCAAATGATGACTATCCTTTATCCGGACGAAGCAGCGCAAAACAATATTTTGCTGAAAAGAATCAAAATATGATACCAAATGTTTGTTTTACTGACGATTACATTACATTAGAACCATCTACTTCGAAGATTGAAACCGTCAATCAGAACTCGGATAACTTTGATAACATCTCGATTAAATCTTCGGATTTATTAACATTTGGCTCTATTCCCATCAGTGAATATAATATCAATCCTACCGAAGACCCATCACCGATTACATGTCCAAATAGTGTAGAATTTAACCATCAAAATGTAAACAACGCAATTCCAAACATGACGATTGGGGAAGAGCAAAACTTATCGTACCATCAACTTCTTCCAGTAGTAGCGCAAAACCATAATCAAGAGAAAATTACGAATAATACAGTTGATAATATTGATAGTGCTTGCGCCGTGTTAATGAAGACCATTGATGAGGAAATATTGCATACAACCGATGATGAGTTCCTACATGTTGACAATGAACAAACATTAAACATTACTATCGAAAACGTACAAATACGAACAATGAATACAACACAAAATGACGAGATAAATAAAGAAAGTTCCGTTGATTTGATAACTTATACTAAAACAGGGACAATAAGAAAGAGAAAGAAGTATGATGTGCCCTTGAAAGAGCGAAATAAAACTAAAATTATAGAAAAAAGGGAAAAACATGACGTAAAACCTCCATGCTCTTCATCATGCAGGCTTTTATGTATTATAAACATACCGGAAGAGCAACGAAAGCAATTGAATCATTCTTTTTGGAGTTTAAGCAATAAAGACAGAAAAAATTTTATGTTGCACCACACTTCTTCCCAACCTGTGAAACAGAGAACTGTCAATGAATCTGTTCCAACTACTTACAGAAGACAAACTACATTCTTCTATTATCTTAAAAACTCACAAGGTTCGTCATGCAAAGTATGCAAAACTTTCTTTTTAACTACCTTGGGTTATAATGCAGCTAACGACAAGCCCTTAAAGACTGCTTTAGGTAACAATAAGGATGACTCTGTCAGTGCTCCAGTGGACAAAAGATGTACTAACACTCCTCACAACAAAATTGACGATGGTCCTATAAAGGAACACATATTTAGTTTTGACCCCAGGATATCGCATTATAGACGTGAACACGCGCCCAAACGCTTGTATTTGCCAAGTGACTTGTCTATTACAAATCTTCATACAGATTTCCTAGAAAAAAATCCTTCGATGACATGCTCTTACGATAAATACCGAAAAGTTCTGCAAGATTTAAATATTTCGTTCGTAAAACTGGGTCACGAAGAATGTGAAGTGTGTGAAGAATTCGATTTGCACGATAAAACGCATGATAAAGACAATCTCAAGGGAGACTGTGAATGCTGTACCAGGTGGGCATGTCATATAGAACGAGCTAAGAGATCAAGAGAACAGTATCAATCTGACACTAACTTAACCAGCGCTGATACCATTGTTTACTCCGCAGACTTACAAAAAGTCATAATGCTACCGAGAATCGATATGTTTAAGTCGACTGTATTCACTCACAGGATTGTTGTTTATAATGAAAGTTTCGTCCCTACTGGAGCTAGGAAAGGTTCAAAAGAATCTAGTATCTATCCCGTACTTTGGCATGAAACATTATCTGGACGATCTAAAAATGAGATCATAAGCGCGTATTATCATTTTTTTATGTTCTATCGAAATATGAAAAATATTGTACTCTGGGTGGATAATTGTTCTGCTCAAAATAAAAACTGGACATTTTTTTCCTTTCTAATTTATATAATAAATTCTGATGATATCAATGCAGACAAGATTATTATAAAATACTTTGAAACCGGGCACACGTTTATGTCTGCAGACTCTTTTCACCATAGAGTAGAACTGGCGATGAAACGGATGAAAAATAAAATATATGACTTTGATGATTTTTGCAAAGCTGTAAGTAGTGCTGGTAAAAATGTGAATACCAAAAAAATGACGTTAGATGATTTCTATGAGTGGCAAGACTACACGACCCAATACAAACTTTCCCGGCTGTCACCACGACCTTACATTAGTGACATTGTTGAAGTGGAAGTTAGCAGAGGCAGTTTTGATATTAGCTACAGAACTAGTTTCGATAAAGAACCCATTACGGCAAGCATTATAGGTGCAAAGTTCTTAAAATTAGAGAAACTTCCACACCCAACTAAAAAAATAGTACCTGCAGGAATTTCTCAAACAAAAAAAATAAATCTTTTAAAATCTTTTTCCAGTTTAATACCTGCTAATAGGATGTCTTTTTGGCGAGGACTGCCAACTTTTGATTAATTTAATTTCATAGAAAGCAAATAATGGCTTTAATTTTTTTTTTTGTAATTTGCTGATACG